AATTTTCCCATGGCCCTTCATAAAATACTACCATAGAGACAAAGCTCAATTCACCAATATGCAAGAAATATTTCTATTCTAAAAACTAAAAAAATATATACTAGCCAAGCACTTAGTTTTTATTACATTACACACCAAATTAATATTCTGCTTGAACTATGCACTATTACCAATTTAGTTCTCAGAAGCAGAAAGAGTATCTGCTAAATAATGGCTTAATCTCCCATAACACCTTAGTTCACTTGGTAACTTCTTAAACACTGGATTGTTTTGAAGTCTTTAGCAATTAAATCCAGCTATTCGTGTTCTAAGTAATGAAGACAAAAGAGTCCCTCACATATAGGCTTTTCCAAGACTTTACAATCCAGGTAGACAATGGAAATACACAACAGGAGAACAATATCATCACAACTAGTTACTGGGAAACCTGCCTACATACAAGCTTCTGAGGGAGTTTTAATGACAGAAACTATTTCAGTGAAATGTTTCTTTGTCACTGTGGAATCCACTACTGATATGTTCATGCAGACACAGGCTCCCTCAGCACTCTACCTGACATCGATTTGAATGAAGGCACTACGATCCAACCAAAATATATCATAAATAAGGCAGGGAATGGGGGAGGTGCAGTGGAACCCCCTCTAAGGCTTTACAGAAAAGGCTGTGGAAGTGAAGGTTATAAACAAAATAACACATAATATGAGAGTTGGCAGGAAGGCAGACAGAAAGATTCGGCTTTTGCAGGAAAAACAAGACAACCCCTGTAGGATGAGCAAATGGCACAGAAAACTAAGCTGGATCACAGACAGTAAAGCAGATAACTAAACCAAAGTAACATTTTAAAATACCACAGAAAATACTTACCTGCCGAGCATGCAAATTCTGAACCTTAAATCAAGAATGCAGGCAAAGGTAAAGCTTTGAGAAAGATGGTCTTAAAGCTACAAAGGACAGTCCCAGCAATCTGGGGCAGCTGGGCAGAGCAGGTTTGTTTCTGTGGTGTGGAAAAGAGAGAAAGGGCCAGCATTTAATAGAGCATATGACTGGGAAAAGCAGTGCTGAAGCCCCTTCAGAGATTTAAGTGATCTCAGATGCTGTTGTCCAACAGGCCAGTTTTGAAGTATCCTAACAGGCTTGTAAACATATCTTTTTCAATATCTTAAAAGCAAGTTCACAAAGCTAGGAATTGGACCTAGAACACCGTTCAAAGCTGTTTATCAACACAACTGCCCTTCCCACTTTGGTATACCACCAAGTTGATCTCAGGACCATAAGAGCTGAAGAACAAACTGATCTGGAAACTTGTCAGCGTTCAGAGGCACCAAATATGAGTGGAAAGAACATCTTAAAGGGTTCTTATATTTGTAATTAAAAAAAATCTCATACCTCTTAAGAGACCCATTTGCTAAATAAGACTCCGCAGAGAAGCTTCTCCCTCCATTTTGGTTGTCAAAAGCACAAGAAAAACAAGGTGGCTTCTCATTCTCCACTTCCATTGCCATATCCAAGCTCTCAGTAAGAAATGAGGGTGTGGACAAAGCCTCAAATTCGTCCTCCATTGCTTCCACCTGACCCAGAAAATAAACAGATGTTAAAATACCCATAGTGTTTCTTCAAATAAATTTCTCATTGTTACAACTCTGCATAATCCTTCAGCTCAAGTGAGGACACAGATCCGATTAATTGTAACATAAGACTAAAAGCTGAGAGCACCAAGGCAGGCAATCATGGTTTCATACTGTGCCTCAAAATTCTGCCGCTTTGTGCAACTTCATCTTCCTCCGTCACAACCTGTTAAAGAACTCAAATCAGTAACTAAAAAAAACCCTGAACAGATTAATTTCCTTCTGGTTTAGCTATCTAAATTAACTAGCCACAAGGTTAGACTAGCAGTAGGGCAAAATATGGGGCAAAAAATGCAGGAATGCATTACAAGGCATGGGTGAGCTATTTTGAGCAACACTTCATTTTATGACCAGAGTAGCTATGCTATGAAAATACATCATGCATTACAGGTTCCCAGTTGCCCATAACTTTAAGGCAACATTACAGATTAAGCTCCTTCTAGGAAGCAGTAAATACACCCCATATGACAATTACAGAACTCTGAAATAGTAAAGTTTTAAAGCTCAAAAAATTACTGTACAGCTGATTCTCACATAGTTAGAAATTCTTCTTAAAAAAAAGTCTAATTACCTAGGAATCTGAAAAAAAAGAAACAAAACCAAAGAAGGATTATCATGTCCAAAAGAATTTCACTGTATAGTTAGTTAGTGTATTCATATACAACATATCAAAAGAGCCGAACCAGGTAACAAGTGTCACAGAGTTCCACAAAAATATGCAAACAATTTAACTAAGACCCTAAATGAAGTTTTCAATTTCATTGCTGGCAGATTTTGTTACAGTTCTTGCAGAAACTAGTTTACACCATGGCTAGAAGTGGGTAGTACAGGCTTGACTGAAAAATAAGCTCAAGGAAAAAAAAAAAAAAGAAAACAGTTTCTGTTCTACTTTCTCCCATCCATTCACATCTCTGCAGAGCAGCAAGAAGGGAAAGAACGACTTCAGTGCTCCAGTTTACAGCAGGTCCCTACGTACGGGTGTTGGCAGAGCTGGCGAGGCAGCTGAAGGGAATGTCCTCAACCACATGAATTTCTAAGGAAAGCCTGTTCAATTTGGGGTAACGAAACTGCCCCGGACGACAGAAAACACTGGGAGAAAAGGTACAAAAAGGGCAGCTCTTCCCGGCCGCAACTCCCATCAGCTCTGTACTTGTCTATGACACCCCTGATCCCGCGGAACCAAATGACTTTAAGCACCGCAACTTTCTTGGTCACCCATGCAGGAGAAACCTCTCAGGGGGCTGCAACGCGCGGGCAGAAGTTGCAAACCGGCAAGGGAGCCGCCAAGAGGAGGAGCATCCCAGCCGCCAAGGGAGCCGCCGGCGGGCAGCACAGGGGTCTCGGGCGGCGCCGCGGCCGTACTGCGTGGGGGCCGCCGAGCCCCGTCCGCGCCCGCCGCTCCGTCCGTCCGCCCACCTGTCACGCGGGCACTGCGCATGCGCCGCGCGCCGATTGGCCGCCGGTCGCTCCTCCTCCCGCGGCGGCCGCTCCTGCTCCTCCTCCTACTACTGCTCCTCCTCCTGGTCCTGTTCCTCCTCCTCCCTCCCGCGCGGTCTCTTCCTCTACCCGTTTCACGTCGCCTGCTCTGCTCCGCCCACCCCGGGGCGGTTCGCCGCGTGCGGCGCCGGCTGCTCCTCCCGGTGTCACCAAGCCGCCTTGGTTTCCCTGCTTCCGTGGCCGTCCCTTGCCCGGCCACCCACCACAAGTGGTGTCTGACCACCTCTCGCCTGAACACCACCGTCTTGCCACAGCTACTTAGTGCCCACATCAGATGTAGCTTCCTTTGTACTCACAGAATCATGGAATCAAGATGATTTGGGTTGGAAGAGACCTTACAGTTCCAACCCCCCTGCCATGGGCAGGGACACCTTCCACTAGATCAGATTGCTCAGAGCCCCATCCAGCCTGGTCTTGAACAGCTCCAGGGATGGGGCATCCACAAGTTCCTTAGGCAACCTGTTCCAGTGTCCCACCACCCTTACAGAATTTTTTTTTGTAATATCTAATTTAAATTTACTCTCTTTCAATTTGAACCCATTCCCCCTTGGCCTGGCACTACATGCTCTTGTAAGTAGTCTTGCCTCATATTTCCTATAAGTTCCCTTGTACTCCAATTGTTCACTACCTTTCTCTGGTTTCTTTCTTGTCCAGCCTTTAAATAACTTCATTTTCCTTCTTCTCTTAGGCCTTCTCAGTTCACTCATCTCCATGCTCCCTCACAGAGATGGGCAAAAGGTCCCTCTGGTCTTTTCTGATGCCCTATAGACCCAGATCCAACCTTCCCTTGTCTGCCAGGTAATGCCCAACAACTCCAATCACAAGAAATTCTCATCAAGTACTGTTTAGTGCATTTGAAATTCAAGCTGGGTAGCACTCCTATCATTTACTAAAGCACCTTCATTGGGTATGTCAGTCACCATAGATTAGGGTGACTGAATAGGTGTAGGGTGAAAGTCCTAACACCTGTGCCTAGCATAACATAGCTTAAAACGCATACTATACAGCCAGTGGTTTCTGGTCTTTTTAAAAAATATTATATTATTTTGGATTGCTGTGGTTTGATTTCATTTCAAAATGAATGCTCTTCCACTTTTGCCTAGCTTTCGGGTGCAAGCTAACAGCAGTGCACGGAACTTGCTTCTAGTAAGAAAGTTGCTATAAAAAGTTTTGTTGTTGCTGCTACATCTTGCTGTGAAAACTCTGGTATGATTCAAAATGCTTCGTTTGCTTCAGCGTCTGTAAGAATCTCTCATTTCCTTCTTTAAATTCCTCTCTAATTAAAAAAACAGTACATCATGGTTAAATAAAACTGTACCCAGGATAACCCTGATTTCCATATGCAGATTTATCTGCACTGACAGCCCCCTCTCCCTCTCTTAGTCTTTCTGTTTCCTCTCTCTCCCTCTCTCTCCCTCTTTCTCTTCCCCTCTCTTTCTCTCCCTGTCTTTTTGTCTCTCTTTATGTCTATTGCATTATGCCTGAATAATTTTCACTCTTTTTTTTTCCTCCCCTCTTGCACGCACATGCTAAAATAACTAGACAAAGATGCAAGGTGGTTGCTGCAGTCCCTGTCTCTAGGAAAGAACCAAGAAAGCTTAGGATTGCAATGCCACCTTTCCTTTTTTTCTTTCTTTTCTTTTTTTTTTTTTCTTCCCCAGCCATGCTCGGTGATTAAACTTCCTCAGGATGGGGAAGAAAAGGAGCTGGAAATGAAATAGGGTTGAGGAAAAATCCCATTGCAGCAGCTGCAGCCAGCGGTGTGTGCTGCCAGATGTGTGAAGGTTCCTGGGGTCCTTGTCACTAAAAGGCAGTATTCAAATATTTGGAGACAAAAGCTGCATCCTCAGTGATCATTTTCTTTATTTAACATGGCAGCAGGCATCGTGTGGGAAAAAATCAACACACTGGATGTTGAATTGGACTTTTCTCCTTCCTGGGATGAAAGGATGTTATCTATCCCGTGCCAAGAGGGAACTGAGGTAAGAGAGCTGATCCAGCTCCTGTTTTTTCATAGTATATTTCCTAAGCATCTTCTCTGAAACAGCCTATATATATACATGTGTGTGTGTGTGTGTATATATATGTTTGTATATTTGTTTATTTGGTTTCAAGGCAGTGAGTGGTAATGCTTTTTTTTTTCCTACCTTCACATCAACCCAGAGAAAGTTAATTCACAATATATATTCAGAGCCTGCTCGGAAGGGTCATTTTGTGGTGTTTTTTTCTGAATACGTTTTTGTTTCAGAGAAGACTTCAGCAGTGACATCATGGTTGACTGCCGATATTAAAACCGATTTTCAAAGTCTTTGGAAAAAAAAAAAAAGCCAGTAACTTCGTGATAAGAAATTGTGCAGGAGATTCATGTGCTCTATTTTTTGGTTGCACTCTAAATATCGGAAGTCTTATTAAAGCGATAGTGAGAATTTTTTTTATTATTATTATTTCTAGCACAGAAGCGATGAATGCTGCATAATTAAGTACAGTATTTAATTTGGCTGTTGTGAAGCAAAAGAATAAGGTAATAATTTTTATTGTACTAATCAGACTCAAGATGTTCTCTGCGTTAATTGGGTTAAAAAAATTGCAGTACTTATTAGAAATTCTAATTTCACAATGCAGCACTGACAATAAGCTCAGCCAGTGAATTATTCACATCTTTAATTTGCTCTCTTAATGACAGTGTTCTGTAATCAGAGTGCAGAGACTGCTTCCTATGCATTATGTATGATGTTCAGGACTTAAATGCAGGACATTATGAAGCCTCTCAGTGGCTCAGTAATTAGTTTTCCACAAGACAGGGTTTAGATATTCACAGATAAAAGTCTACAGCTGAGATAATGTTAAGGTGGTGACTCATGCTAACAAAAGCAGGGAAGTTCAAATTTAATGCTGAAACTGCTCTCCATTTTCCCTCGTTGTGCATAGGTGCAGGGGGAGGGGAAGAAAGTCTTCAAAACTAGCCCGCCATGGTGAGTACGCTGCAGACACCCCAAGGGGCAAACCGGGGGCTCATTTCACTTTCGGACCGTGGTTTTTTGGCACCTTTACTGATTAGAGGGTGGAGGTGGTGTTGCGTTTTGTGCCTCTTTGTAAAGCTTGTGAAAAGGGCAATATGTACACATTATCAGAGAGCAATCACGTATAGGTGAGATGTATTTTAAAGGATTTTATTTGAAGCACAGATGTTTGTAACTTTGTCAAATTACGATGCTTTGAGTGGGAGCTACTTTGTTATCTGCAGAAACTTTGAGAACACCTGATACTCGCTATATTGCTGTTGTATCTATTTCAAGTGTCATGGTCTTTATACATTTTGAAAACGTTTCTTTTCCTAATAGTTTAGTTCTCACTATCCAAAAGGTGAATCATGATGCAGGTTTGTTCTACTTTCCTTGGATCATTTACCTGGTGTTAAGTGATTTAAATGTAGGAAATATGCATGGCTATATAACTTTCCTACTTCTATATGCTACTTAGTATAGAATAAAAAGCAAGAATATTGAAATGAAGTTGGAAAATATTAATTTTTCCATACTTAGTTGCTAATTAGGCTGTCAACTGTACACTTGTCCTGTGTTCTTACATTATAGCAATCATATATACTTTTACTGGAAACAAAATAGTTGACTAGAGAAGGTCCTTTACTTACTTTGTGTTAACTCTCCAAAGACTTGTGCCATTTTTACAGGATTTTGATTCTAATAATTAAAGTCGATCTGCCAATAAAAAGTTTTAGGTTTAAATTAAAAACAAACAAGCAAACCCACCCCCCCCCAAAAAAAAACCAAACAAACAAACTAATGATCCCAACTCAATAGTAAGCTAGAGATAGGGGATCAAAAATTTGGAGTACATCTAGATTTTTATAGCAAAGTATTGTAAAGCTAATTCCTTTAAAAATTTCCACCAGACTCTACATCTGGAATTCGGTGTTATTAGTAGCTGTTGCTAGTGTTGTCTGGCCTCAAGGCCATGGGACAAATTACTAAGTAATTCCTCTCAGGAAGCAAAATGCTATATCCTGTGGCTAGATTAGACATTGGTTATGTATAGTCCAGCCCTGGAAGTAACTAGCATTAAACTGTTGAATAAAGAAGCTGCAGATTGGATCAATGTAGCTAAGTGATCCATAGATTGCATAAGAATCCAAGTGGTTGTGTACATGAAAAAAATTGGTTGGGTCTTTTCCAGAATACGACTTTCTTTCCAAGTCAAGATCCCACAGCAAATGGTACTGTCATGTGGTATCACTACATAGCTACATTTCTTTGGTCACTTCAGCATAGAATCACACACTTAAAAATTACTCCACAAAGGTGTCATACCCACTCCCTCACTCTTCCTTCTAAGCCAGGATGAATCGAAGCTGCCTTTTTAAATGAGCGCTTGCCTATCTGCCTAAAGATTTGTTATGATTACTTACCTAAGTTATCTATTCCAGCATTTCACTGGTCTTCCCATTAGTTTTTTGTGCTTTCTGCTCTTAAACTTAGCTTGCTACAAGTAAATTACTTGAACCTATTAGGTTTTGCTAGTTAGTTGGTGGTACACGGATTTTATTTTCATCTTTGCACCACACTCTTATGTATTTGAGATTCTTAGTCATGTTTTCACCGTGTTCTTCTCTTAAACAATCCCTGTTTGTTATTTTCTGCTTTATAGAAAAAAAATTTCTTGTACTTCATTAATTCTTGTTGCTGTCCCCTGGCCTTTCTACTTTCTTGAAATGCAGTGCTCTGGACTTAGGTGTGATATTCCAACTGCCATATAATTTCTGTATTTTCACTTTATGAAAGGTGGTTTGTCACTTTGTTAGAAAATCTTGTTTCCTTAAGAAAATATGATGTTTCCTTAACAATATGATGTGCACATTGTGAGTGCAATGACGTCTGTTAACCCAGGATACATTCTAGTACAGTTTGAAAAGATGCAACATGTGTTTAAATAGGTTTTTAATTAAAAGGTTTATGCTCCTAGCGGGAGTCTTCATGGATATTGTTTCCAATAGCCTTATCTCTCACGGTAAGTACCTGTGACTAACCTGATTAATGTCTGAATGTGAGCCATCATACTGTGCAGCAGTATGTTTTAGATTACAAAATAAATTTTAGAAAATTAGCCCATTCTAACTAGCCTAGAAGATTGACTCTGCTTCTGAGCTATGGATCTAGAAAAGAGCCAATTGGTGTCTACCTAATCTGTTAAAGTGGAGGTCCATTAGTTTTTAGCTCTGAGAAAGGAAGGGCCCAATATCTTTCCTGTGTCAGAGGAAGGCAGTTCATACCATCCTTGAGTTGTCATGGCATGGGAGGAGAACACTTCTGAAGTCAAAATAAAAAATGTGTCTGAAGAGTTAAAGATGACTGGCAATGTTTCCAGGGGATCGGGATTAATATAATGTTTTAAAAAAGACATAGTGGCTACTGAGGAAAATTTTAGGACCTTTGCATGGTTAAAGAGACATCTAGTTCATATATTTGAAATGTAACCCTTTCACTGTCTTCTTACTGGCATGTAACTTCTCTGGTATAGGAACATTGCAAGTTTTTTTGAATGTTCTCAGTCATATTTCTTTATTTGTTCATATATGAAAAAGCCAGCAAAATAGTTTTAACTCAGTGCAATTGTTAGTGATATCTCTAACAAAAAGTTTAGAAAAATCCGTCCATAGTATATTTCTAGGAGCTGTATTTTGTGGTTTTGTTTATATTGTTCCAGGTTCAAGTGCCATTATAAATATGAGGTTCTGAAGTGGTATGTTAAGTATTTTCAAATGTATTCTCTTAATCTAGCCTAGTAATGCAATCCTTTCATATGCATAATTTGCATGAAAACCAGTGGGAACTACATTATAGAAGGAATAATAGATACATATGACAAGATGCCTCCCTTTTGAGTCATTGTTTAAGTTGGTTGACAAAGAATAAAGTTAACCAACATAAGCAGATATTGAGAGTGGAAAGAGAGTTTCTGATAATATTTTTAATTCCAAATTTATCTGTTTCCCCATTGAAAGATATATGCCGGTGGAATGACAGTAGTCAGAATATCTGATCGAAATCTCAAATGAATTTACATTCACTAATACTTTCCAGGAAATATTTTGTAAGTTGATATATGCATTCTAGTCAGTAAAATTCCATATAATTGACTCAATATTATGAATTCCAATTTATATATAAACCTATGTATATATTATGTAAAGTAGATGATAGTGATAAATATTCATACTATAAACCAGTTTGGGCTTTTTTTGCAAAGTCAAGCTAGAAATAACATAATGTACTGTATGAGTTCACATACTCAATCTTCTATAAAATGTAAATCCATAAAACTTTGCAGTTCTTATCTGCATCCATAGTAGGCCAGAAAAAATAGTAGCACAAATACTTAATACCTCACAAAAGCATCTTGCTGCTTCCAAGGGTTTTTTCTTCTGTCTCCTCATCTATACATATTTTCCATACCAGCTCTCATCCCAGGAACTACTCATATCCTCATTAAACTCCAGTTTTCATTGCTGACTTGCTAATTTTTCAGCCTTTCTTTTTAAACTTTTCCTCATGCTTTTTTAGAAGCTCAGGAGACTTTTACTATTCCCAAAGCATCCCTCCTTAAAATTCCTTTGTTTTGTTTCTACATGCGTTGACAACAGTTAGGCTATTATCCTTGAAATCTTCATATCACACTATCTTTTTTTCTTTGTTTTCTTGTAGCATCCCATTTCTTGTCTCTTGCAATGTTTAGATTGCAAGAATATTGGTGAAAACACTGTGGGTTTTTATTCTGTGCTTGTAGAGAGGGAAAATAAAGGGCTCTATCTGATAGTAGTGATACAAAAAATGTGTGCAGTTAATAATTTTAACTACCACCCTTCTAATCCCTAGTAACACAGACTTTTAAAGTCTTAGCAACTTCTTTGAAATAGAATTCCATCTAGATTCTGGGAAGTTGACAGGTTAGGCCAGTAGGAAACTGAGGAAGAAGGAGGCTGTGTACAAGTGAAGCAGAACTTATCCTCAGAATATTTCTGTTCAGTGCCTTCTGTTTATTACCTTTGCTTTTCCTATATAATACTTCATAAAAAAGACCATAGATCCAAAAACAATTATTCTGAAAGCTTTTTGTCTCTCAGGTGCATAAATTCTTTCTGGTGTGTGGTACACAGTAGCATTACAGACTCTGTAGGTCCAGCTGAGGGATTGTATCAATCCAACTGTAGACTGAGGGATTTTTTGCCAGCAGGAATAGCTTTAGCTGAGAGTGATCGTGGTGCAGCAGAAAGATGGTTTTAAAAGGAGACATTCTAAAGCTGTGATGTGGTGTGAGGGATTGAAAAAAAAAAAAGTTGTTAAAGTTATTACTGGCTTGAAACAACTCTGTATGTGGGTGGAGGGGGCAGATCAGATCCTGCCAATGTGGAATTGTGCTCTCCCTCCCCCCATAGCCTGCCTCCTTGACAGCCTTTAGTGCAGCTGTCTGTCACTGACACCCCGAGAACACTGCCCCACAGCACATTCCCTGCAGCCCCTAACCCAGCCCCAGAATGGTTGGCAGACCCAAAGCCCCACCTGGGAGGAGCAGGCTCCACGTGGTTTTCAGCCCTACAGTTCTTGGACTTGTGGTAGCTGGATCTGTACTGGATCTAAGGCAGTAGCTATAATTCTCTCTCCCTCCTTCTCTCTTCTTCCCTTTATCTCCTTCTTCCCCTTCTCTGAATTTACTCTTCTTGATATTTGTGTAACTTAAACCTGGATGGCTTAGAATTTGCTAAGTCAATGCTTTGTGGAAATCCTTTGCGTTGACTGAATGGCAAGGAGATCCATGAAGGGTTTCTGGACAAGGCAGGATGTAGTCATGTGAGTGAAATAAACAGGACTCAAAAGCTATGAGCTTTTGAGCATAAATGTGTACAGGCTTCAGAATCTAGGCCAGGCTGGAAGAAGACTATAGAGAATAGGTAACATCA